CTGTCTTGCCAAAGCTCACGTGCTAGAGAGTTGGCAATAGGAAGAAAATAGCTTTATGGGTCATTTCTCTAAAGTTCGTGCTCTAATGGAAAGAGCAAATATCTGCCAGCGCCATTATTACTACCATACAACAGCACAGAGGTGGAGGGTGTTCCACAGCTGGGATGTCGATGGGCTGGTAAAGCAGCCTAGCAAGGACAAAGCCCTCAGTTCAGTCTCTACCATGGCAACTGCATTGGTAAATACCCATGATTCCACCAAGGTGGAGGTCAGGGGTTTAAGGCCGTAGTTGACTACCTAGTGAGCTTGAGGCCAGACTGGGCTCTATGAGATCCTGTTTAAAAAAGGTAGGTGATGGGAATTTCACCTATCTATATCCACTGGTACTTATTTTCAATTGCCATGAAGGTGGTTTCCTGTTTCTCAAACGTATCTCTGCTAGCATTATACCAAAATCTGAATCTGAACATACAGTACACTTAAATAAAAATTTTGGAAAAGAATTTAGCATGGCAAGAGATATATCCAATATAATATATGACGACTTTGTAAGAAAAACATCCAAATCATTTCTCTCTAATTACAGACCTCAGCTTGGCCGAATGCAGACTGATTGCCACAGGCTTGTGCAATTGAAGGGGTAACTAGCCATTCTCTTGGTTCATCAAAGACTACCTGCCTCGAAGTAAAATAAACCAGTAAATTAAGTTAGACAACATTTTAAACATAACTCATACTAATGTCTCAATTGATTTATTGAATTAAAATGTCTCACTGATTAAAAATGAAATCATGGTTGGTATACCTCACTTCTTGGAGCTTGGGCACCAGTTTTCTGGAGACAGACAGATTTTGTTCTCTAAAATGATTTTAGTGCTTTAAGCTGTCTTTAAAAAGTCCTGCAAGGGCTCTGAGCTCTGTGTCCAGAGTCTTCTGACTAGACCTCAGCCCGCCTCATTCTCTGCTGAATGTTACACTGCCACACTCACTGGGGATATGTTACTCTCCAATCATCTGAGCTGCTGGTAAGCTGGGCAAGAGGAAGCTTCAGGGATCTAGCTTTGGGGAGTCGTTGTCCATTTAGGATGGGCCTCTCTCTTGAGAATACAGCTGTCTTTGTGCTAACTGTGCTCCAGTAAGTATTGTGTCATGCAACAATAAACCCATAACTCACTGCTTTACTGAGCTAGACCTGAGCGAAACCTTTGCTTTGGTCTGCCATTGGTGCCCTAGCTGGGAAAAAGGGACATTTGTTCACATATTTCCTTCACAAAGCACATGCTAAATCATTTTTAGCAATTAGATGGATACCTTTTACAGATTCAATAAACTGAGATAGCAGTTCACTCTTTCTTTTTTTCTTTCTCTCTTGAAACTGTTTTTCCCTTCTTTTTCCCTCCTCCCTCCCAAAAGAAACTGTTATGTAGGGAATTGCCAATCATGGCTAGAGGAATGAATTGAAATGCAGCTGAGCTGTTTATGATAGCCCCTGGCTGACCAAAGTAGTAGAGTCAAAGCAGGCCAGTGTCCATTGGGAATTCACCCTGGAATTCTTCTAGAGGGTACTGGAGAGTGCTTCCTATGCCTGAGTTATGAGTTATGGCTACTCATGAAGGCCACAGGATATGAATCCCAACTGCTAAAGAAAAAGCTTAGCTGGAAAAATAAAGGACCGCACAGAAGACAGCGGGAGTAGACTGTGATCAGGGAAAGGGGAAGGAGGGGGAGGGGAAGACAGAAAGGATGACAAGACGTGAGGGAAGGAGGAAAAAAGAGAAAGACAGAGAGAAGACATTTAAAAAGAAACAAAGGGGAATGCCCTTCCAGAGGAATCAGGTTTGAATCCCAGCACCCACATGGCAGCTAATAACCATCTGCCTGTCTGGTTATAGAGAATTCAATGCTCTCTCCTGGTTTCTTGTTTCTGTGGGCAATGTAGCCACCTGGTACACAGACATGCAGGCAAAATATCTATTCACATAATGAAATAGCTTTTGTTATTGTTGTTTTGAAAGAAAAATAAAAGCAGAGAAAGAGTGGGCCAGAGATGCATGCCCAACCCACTGAGTGCCAGGAGATTTCTGCATCTGGGCATTTCATGGGTAAGTTTCTCCCCAACTTTTCTGTGGCCTAACTGTCTGAACAAGAGCTCTCATTTTGTTCAAGGTATTTGGAGAAGGGTTTTTGTGACCCACAATGATCAATTTGAAATTATGCTGGAAAAACACATTCATTACTCTAGCGAGCTAGGTTTGTACTCTCATGCCCATATCCCTGACATTGATGTAACAGGTACAGTCAGTAAAGATATACAGATGCACCAAGGGAAAACATCATGGGTAAGTCACAGGTAAATGCTCTCCTAGCAATATGGACAATAACCTTCTCACTGTGGAATAAATACTACAATGCAAACAAGACAATTCATAGCATGGAATAAAACACTGGAAATAAGCTGTTATATGGTAAAGAATTGGTTTTAAATAAAAAATGCTGGTGATAGCAAATAATTCAGGAGCACAGAAGGAATAAACTATCGGGAACAGCTTTCATTAGTGTCCAAATCTTTCGAGTTTCTACTCATATGATGTGAGTGAGTCAGAGTTTCAAACTTTGAACTCACGTGTCCTCATTGCCATAAAGTCCCAGGGCACAGCGTTTCTATTACGACAGAAATCACAAGGTTAAGGTGATGTCAGCCAGGAAGAGAACTTAGACAGTCGGTTGTCTGGCCCACAGCTCTTAGAACGACTCGTCTGCCTTCATACTTAGTTGTTTTGAAATTGTTCATTTTCAAACAGGGACCTCACATTTTTGCTTTACTTATGAGGTATATATGGGTTTGAGCAAAGGGCAACCCTGTGCAAACATTTTTCTGACCACTAGCTCTGCTCTTCGAGGCAGCCAGGCCGTCATTTACCGAGAGGCAGACCAGAGGTCAGTCCCTCCTGGCTGGATGCATGTTCTGCTGTAGCCCTTTATCACAAGCAAATGCAGTAAAAGTACAAGTGGATGCTTAGGAGCACTGAGATTCAACCTACTCACAATACAGCAGCAATGATACACTGTCATCCACTGCGTATCCAAAGGCCCCTAGGAGCAAGTCCAGGACATCAGAACCAAGTCTGGCTGGTTCAAGGAGTTAAAAAGTAAAGCTGATCTTGTCTGAGTGTATCAAACTCAGTAACTCAATATGGTAAGACTGGGGTTGTTAATGTCACCTAGAAATGGAACTTCTCAGCAGTGTTGAACAGAGACTAGAAGTGGTTTTAGGGTGTGGTGTTTCTGAATCTGTGAGCTTTGACATTTTCCATCTGACAGCATCTTCTTACCAGCATATATATCCTGTCTGGTGACACAGAAAAAAAATTGATAATTGAGTCCACCTTGCCCACAGCATCTGTGACATGTTTACTCACCTGATATATTTTAGGGCAGCTACTCTTGTACTTATTCCTCTCTTGTTGATGCCCAAATCAGACCAATTCTGTCTTCATCTAGGTCCCAAGTCCAAGCTAGGCTACCAATAGCTGTTCTATCTGAAATGCTATGCTTACCACTTCCAGCAAAGTGAGTGGGTTTCAGATGCTTTTCTATGTGAAAAAAATAAATTGAGGAATTCAAGAAGGATATACATTAATGTGCTGGGGTTGAAAAACGTCTCTCCTTTATAACCATGTAAACTGAGCAAGCGTTCTGGTGGGTAGAGAATAAAAATACCATTTAATATATGCACGAAAGGGGAATGCAAATTAACGCATGGCAGAACGCTGATTGGAGTACAACTGTCTTTGGTGTATGATATACGTGTGTGTGTGTGTGTGTTTGTGTGTAGATATGTGTGTTCGGGTACACATGAACCTATGTGGGGGCTGGCGGTTGACTTCGAGTGACTTCCACAATTGTTTCTCCATCCTGTTTTTTGACATGGAGTCTCTCATTTAACCTGGAGTTGACTGCTTAGGCTCGATTTGAGAGGACAGTGAGCTCCAAGAGGAGGTGTACAGCTTTAATTGGGGATGTGAGCCCATGTCTGCATCATGTATATGCACAATAAATGCTAGCAATTAACTCTGTTTACTTAAGGAGATGGGGGAAGCCTACTCATAGATGAAAACTAGGTACATATGCAAACAGACCAGCTTGCAGACACTAAGCAGAAAACTATGGAGTGTTACAGCAGAGATGAACCAGGTCCCTCAGGATGTAAGTAAGCCCTCTAAAGAACTACAGCAAAGCCATTGGTAGTGCAGGGATGTGAGGAAGTGTACTAATTGGTTCTGTGTTAGGATTTGCTTTCTGTGTGGATTATGTTTCTCTTTCATGTTCCCACTAGACCCAGCTATTTGGGGAGGCTGCCCTGGGAGGGCTAGCTTTCTTCATGAGTTAATATTTAATATGCCTTTGTGGAATTTCATAATCCCTGAGATGTTATTTCCCATATACTCAAGAGGGAAAAATTTCTCTTCATTCTTGAACAGATTTATTTTAGGAAATGTGTCGTAATGCCACAAGAATCTTGAGGGATCTTTTCAAAAAGCATGATCATCTATGGTTTGGGGAGACATCTGCGTGAAATTTGGGGATGACTTGATGAAACTGACAGGATACCATGAGTGGAGCAAAAGCGAGCAGAAACTATTCCTCTGACCTTTCCAGCCTTTCCAACAATCTTCAGAGAGGAGAAAGTTATCCCTATAGGGTTACTCAGTCTTTCATATGGCTTTTCTTTTTGTGGTTTCCTCACAATAGAACTTATTTTAATAGACAATGGCACCGCCCCGACCCACAGCTATTCTTTCTGCAGCATCCCAGCCTAGCCCACACTCCTCTTCGTCAAACTCCAAGTCCTGCCAAGTATCAGCACCTCTTCAACTTGCCATCCCAGGGTGAGGGCCATCAAAGTTTTCATTCATGCTATAAAAATTGGCAACCCCCAGTGGAGTCACACTTAATAAAATACCAGTTTTAAATGCCATTGTGAAAATGAAAATACCTACCTCTCTTGCAGAATCAGTTTGTTCTCCTTTTTCCAAGAGTCTTTAAAGTCAGAGCTGAACTCATGCCAGACACTGAAGAAAACATTTGGGGACACCTCCTTCTCTCCAATTTTTGGTTTCATGAAGTAGTAGGCTGTGGTCTCCAAAAAGCTGTCAAAGCATACGAACACACGAACATAAAAGCTATGATTACTTTCCAATATGGGATATTCCTTCTCCATCCAAATGCTGATTTCACTCATGCACAATTGTTATTACCAGAAAGATTCTAATTCTCTGTGTACCAAAAGTAATTTCTAATATGGGGTATTTCTAATACGGGATAGTTCCAATATGGTATATCTAACTAATGTACCAACATTAGTTCTTTGTGCTTTCATAATAGAGTTTTAGTTGAAGATAAGATTAGTGAACAAAAACTGCCTCAATATTGAAAATGACCACTGGGCAAATTCCATTTCTAATGAGTCACAATGCAGCTGATATATTTCAGGGATGAACTTAGTCAACATGGGTTTGTATTGAGAAGTGATGACCCTAAGCTCACTTTTACAACTCTAAACAAATGACATATCTTTTGTTTTTCACTAATTTAATATGTATTCCAAGTCTATATAATTCCATGTGTATTTTATTCACATTCTTACGCTGGTGGCTGCAGGAGGGGAAGAGAAGACCTAGGAGCCACAAATGAAGTCTACTATCTAGACAACAAGGCGGCATCTTGCACACAGAGGACACAGCAATAGTGGACTGGTCAGGTCTAGATTTCAGCTCATGTGACTCAGCTTTATTGTATTATGGCTACATAAAGACTCAACTTTCAAAAGGACCATTCAACAAAGAACACACAATTAGTAAATAATAGGCCTAAAACTTGACAAAAGCCTCTCACGTCATGAAAATAGTGCCCTAAACAGGAGCCTGGCCAATAGTTTATTATGTCAAGAACATTGAGAGAAACTGGGCAGCAGGTCACAGAATGTCACAGAGGGTCAGAAGAGCAACCGAAGGAGTGGTGTGCAAATAAAACTTATCTTTGCTTTTACTTTGTCTGATGGCCATGACTGAAAGAAAAGCTTATAAAGCAACTTAATTTTCCCTAATAATTAAAAAAGTGAACAAATAAATATAGGCATGTATATATGAATCTACATGAATATATATTAAACTTATGTAGCAGGTTTAGCATTTTTGCTATAAAATAATGTGAACATTTAAAAGATGAGATCATTATGATGAGCTTACTCAAAAGGCTTATATGAATAGCAAACACAAAAATAAAATTCAGAACCACAGAGTAGCGGTACTGTAGTCATTAAAGCTCACCTGAACATAGACTATAATTACTTGAAAACTTTTTCCAATACCCAGCCATCATAACTGGAAATGGAGCTAGCATTGCCAGCTTTGGCAGTCTCCCCAGAGACTGAACATTGTTGGTTTAACAGTTGGTAGTTGAGAGACTGGGAAAATAGCTCCACTTTGTTAGCATGAGAATCCACCATCTATGTAAAAAAGCTGTGCCTGGGGCTTACACCTGTAATGCTAACATCAAGGAGATGTTGACAGGAGAATCCTTGAGGTTCTCCTGTCAGCAATACTGGATTTCTTGATGAGTTCCAACCCTGTAAGAGATTCTGTCTCAGAAAAACAAAAAATAGGGTAGAGAGCAATTGAGGAAAATATTTCACATTGATCTCTGGCTCCTACATGCATGTATGCTCCCAAACACAAAGACACACAAACATGACACACAGACACAGACACACACAGACACACACACACACACACACACACACACACACACACACACACCAAAAGTTGGTGTTTAATGGCTCAGTATGAAAATAACTCCATGATAGAGGACCTCCCTAGCATGCTCAAAGTTCTAGGTTTCATCACCAGCACCACTAACAACAAAACACACACACACACAAACCCAAACAAAAGTTGATAGCCACCTGTGACTATGGGTTAACTAATGTGTGTTGAATCTGTTCTGCCTTTAAATTTATAACATAACTTCCCTGAGCAAGATGTTTAGGAATACCAGTGTTTGTCTTCCAGGAAAAGAAGGCAATACTGTCTTGATTGTATGTGTGACTCGGAGACATTACAGTAGTCTTCCCTTCGTAGCCTAGTTGGGAGATGACATGGTGTAATCTACAAATCCTGGGAGGTGATGAGTGAAGTGCATTAGATTGTGAGAGTTCACATGCTCCCTGCCACAGTGATGGCATGGGAATGCATCTACAGGATGGGCTGCAATTGGCACAGCTGCAGTGAGTAGATTTCAGAGTGCAGAAATGGTGTAAGACAGATAGATCTAGTTCTTCTGAAAGCTAATGAAGTAAATACAGATATGCTCACAGGGAGAGCTGCTCCCTTGCCTTTGCTCCTGGAGACTATTTGCAACGTATCAGGCCTATGTTTCAAATTATTTGACTATTCAATTATTCTTTTGTTACAGAGGAGTCCAGTTTGTGAAGCTATAATAACTCACCTACCCACACAGCCAGCTTGCCATATTTTGAACATTTTATCATGGCAACATGGTATAAAGGTAGAGACACATTATTTGAGTGAAAAGATGTGGAAAAATGCATTCCAACTCTAACTCGCTACATGGGCAAACCATTTAATGACATTGTGTTTAACTTTTTCATCAGCAACAGAGAGATTTTAAGAATTTTGTCATGTCATAGGGAAAATAAAACTCCAACTTGTCTTTTGAATATTTTCACACAAATTCATTTTATATCTTCATATTATGAATTTATACTACATATAAAATATAAATATTAAAACCAATTCTAATATTGGATTATTTATTTTATTTTAAGATAATTATTTGAATGTGTATATATTGGTGTGTTGTATGCATGTGATCATATGTATACGTTGGTGTATGAGGTTATATTTGCTGGTAGAGGTTATGCCCACAGGTGAAGACCAAAGTTTGATGATTTTTAGTATCTTATGCTATAATGCTACCTTTTACCTTCTGAGACAGCCTCTCACTGAACTCAACTTACCATCTAGCAAGCCATGGAGATCTGCCTCTCTTCATACCCACAAACCTTACCCGTCTCCAGGTTACCAGATAGATGCTGCTACATCTTTTACATGGATGCTAGGGATCTACAGTCCAGATATTTTCTGCTATTACATATGGAACATAATTATTTAATTATGGAGAACAAAAACATTTAATATTTTATCATTTGTCACTCCTCAACATGGAAGGACCAAATCAGTGTACCTCTGATTGTAATGTGGGAGAATGTTTGATTTTTAAAACTATGGTTTGAGTTTCTGACCTGGGTATAACAAATGGTAGAATACACACACACACACACACACACACACACACACACACACACGCACACACTCATTCACACCATAGAAAAATAAAATTAGAATCATAATACACAAGCGGAATAAAGGTAAAAAGTGCCCAGACTAGCATTGTGAGACAAAAAATCTCCCAACACATCACTGAGTTCATTTTGTGAAGGCCATAAACTGCTGAGGTTGGGGCCTGCATTAAATATTGTCTGCAGACTCAGTGAGACTCCATTGGAGAAAACTGACTTTTTCTTTGTAAGCATTTGTCAATTGGGTTAGGAATGGTTTCTCATGTTCACTTCCTCTTCTCAGTGCTGCAACTCCTGCTGGCTTGGACCTTAGCAAGTTCTGTGCTGCTACAGCTTCTGTGAGTGGATGTGTGTTTCAGTCCTGCTGTGTGGGAAAGGTGCTGTTTTCTTGGCGCTCTCTGTCTCCTCTGACTTTCCCAACCTTTCTGCCTCCGCTTCTGCATAGTTCCCAGAGTCCTAAGAGGAGGGACTTGACGTAGGCCTCTCAGTTAATCTCTCACTCTTTGCACACTGTCAGTTATGAGTCTCTCTATTAGTTCCCATCTCCTAGAAGAGAATGCTTCTCTGATGATGGTTGACTGAGAAACTGGTCATGTTTGTGATTGATGTGAGAAGACCCAGCCAAATGTGGTTGGTGTTATCCTGGGCTTGTGGTACTGGGTGCAGTGAGAAAGGAGGCTGAGCAATCATGAGGAACAAGTCAATAAGCAGTACTCCTCTGTGGTCTCTACATCAGCTCCTGCCTCCAGGTTCCTGCCTTAGCTACCTTTGATGATAAACTGTAAGAAAGGGTAAGAAAAATAAACTCTTTCCACCCCAAATTGCTTTTGGTCATGGTGTACCATCACAGCAATAGTAACTCAAACTAAGAAATATATAAAGGTTTAAAGAATTTCTTTATAATTTATTATAGGTAATTTTTTTAATTTAAACACTATTTTACATATTAATATATCTGAAGTCACACAACAATTTCTTGGGTAAAATGCAAGCTTAAAAGTAAACTCAGCATGGTCTATATTTGTAAAATCATCAAGAGTAATATCCAACAACAGTGTTCATGAATAATGAAAAATAAAGATGGAATATATAAGAAACCTATCATTTGATAATTAACGAAACTATCATGAGTAGCCTGTGCCAAAAGAGAAAGTTAACGGCACTGGAGTTACTTAAAGGTCAATAAAGCTGATATTGAAATGTGAACGATTCAGGTAATACAGTAGAGCAAAGTTCACTTTAACATGCCTAGATTACAGAAGAAAGGTAGAAATGGAGCCTCCATCTCAAGGACCTACAGAAGAACAAGTTAGATTCAGAGGTATATTTTAAAAATGGACTGTTTAAATACTACATAGCAAAACTAAACTTTACAGAAAAAGAATGTCAGAATTTACTTTGCTGAAAAATATATTAAAATTGATAAATCACTACTAAAAGTAATTTTAAAAAATAGATAAGATATAAATTTTTAATACCAGTCATTATTGTCAATTACTTAGAATTAAAATGACAGAATATTTTAAATGATCTATAATTATAGACTAGATGCCACAGATAAAATTGAAAAATTCTTTAAAAAAATGACTAAAACTGAAAAATGAGATAGAGATGATAAACAGCTCTGATTCTAAGAAATTGGAATTGTTTTCAGTGAATTACTTTTTAACAAAGAGGTAACATTTTATAAACTTTTATTCAAAATCATTACCATTTTCAAAATACTCTGGTAAAAATTGCTTCAGAGAGGGGTTACCAAACATTGAATAA